TTAGTTTGGACTTCCATTGTCTAATATAATATAAATTGATTTGAAATCCCTGAAAGAATCTGTAATGAATTAAAAAGGTTGGCAGAAAAATAACAATTATATTAAGCAAAACAACTGAAATTACAGTGAAATAAAATACAAGCACCAACCAAAAAACAATTAAAATTAAACAATTATTATATGTTGGTTAATTTAATGACAACAGATGTTAACAATAAAAAGTTAGTGGCTATAAATAGAAATAAATTTTAAAATTTTAATGTGCGAGCCATCAACTTTTCTCATGAAATTGAAAATTCTTCAGAAACCTCATACTTTTCGACAGTAGTAAGCATTTCGGAAAAAAATAGACTAAAACAATTAGGTGAACATTATCATTCATTCTTAAAATTTTAAATATCCGACAAAAATTCAGAGAATAGGAGGAGGAGTAGAAAAGATAAAAACTTTCATTGTTCTTGATATTTTATTTAATATGTTGAGACTACTGAGTGAATAAAAAACTAGTGTGATATTTGTTTTGTGACATACGTCTCTTCCAAATTATCTCTAGAAAAAATTGCAGTTCGATAATTACTATACACGCTTATAATTATCCTACAATAGTACACATAAGGTGTTAATTCGTTACCTGAATAGTCGGGGGGGGGGGGGGCACGGAGTGTGCGGCATCTTATTTTTATTATTCAAACTCAGGAAAAACAGTGTTACGAGAAAATGTTGACAAAAGAATTCAAATATTAGTCGTAGTACTATTCATTTATTGTATTCATTCCTGTACATTATGTAATCACTAGTAGAATAAAAAAAACTGTGCGTGATCCGAAGTGTCAAATGTAACCTGGAAAATATATAGCTTTTCAGAAGATTCAGAAGTAGTAAAGAAATTGAAAATTAGGCTCAGATCAACTTCATGTGTTTTGTAGTGAATATTTCAAGTGAGTTGATTTCATTCGAATACCAATGCTAAATTAGATCGATTGCATTACACTTATGGCCTTATAGGAATGGAAATACCGCAGAAGCTCGATGATTTTATCAAGAATGTTATACTGAAAGATCAACACGGCCGAAAGAACTTTTGTTTTCTCGGTTATTCACGATATCCCCAGACTAATTTCCTTATCACTTTTAGATGCTAGTAACTTAAGTGTGACCTGGATGTCTATGAAAATATTCATCCGCTCATTTCGTAGAAGCCTCAAATTGATGTTATTTGATGTTAATTGCTCACACCTCAACCTGAAAGACTTATATGTAGGTATTGACCAAGCGGGTAACTGAACTATACATTTTCTCCCACACAGCAAATTCCAGCTCTCGTTCTATGTTCGGTTTTCGACTAGTCTGCATACCAGATGTTTCCGCCGAGCATGTTCTCGAGATGACTGTCTGATAACTCAAGAAGTTAGAGACAGAACATGTGGTTCATTCAAGATGGAGTACCTGCAATATCCATTCGTATCATATCGTATTTTGATAACACCCAAGATGATCTTTGTATGGATCATGCGGGACCTCAAGTTTGGCCACTAAGGTCGCCGGACTTGAATTCAATTGGAGTATTTTTCTATAGGGAAATCTCCGTATGATATCTATAGTGGATGAGAACGACTTGCACCCTAGAAATCTTGAAATGTGTTAGACAGTCAATGAGAAGAAGACTTCTTTCGTTCATTTCAACTTAGGTAACTGCTTCAACTAACAAAATCATTTCTATCCAATTTCTCCTAGTTTTCTTCTCTTCGCCAATTTTTTATCAGGCACTTGAAGTTTTGATAATAAATGATTGCGTTCAACTAAAAAAAGATCACTCCTATCGTAAAGCAACAGGAGCACTGTTTTAGCATTGAAATGTATAACCTCTGTGAAAAAAAATTCCATATATCCGAAATCAAGGAATTTTGATAGAAACATTCCTTCAAAAATATCACAAGTAATCATCTGAAATTAAATACATAACATAAGAAACGTCCTATATTTTCAACTATTCGCTACTCTTATTTATACAAATATAACTGGGATGAAAGAAACAAATGAAATTAGAATGATAAGCTGATATATCAATCACATTACTCAATAAAACGTGAAATGAAAATAGAATATAACGAATAAAACAATCAAAATAAAAAATGAAAATGGTCTCACGAGTTAAAATAAACAAAATTAAAAATAAACAGAAAATTAAAAAATTACAACAAATTTTAAATCAAGTTACTTCACGACGTTTCGATTGTTACTATCCACAGTTTCAAACAAATGGGATTGATGAATTTTATTTTCATTTTTCATTTCATTGCATCTTCAAAAATTTTATATTTTATTAAATCAATTTCAAGAAAACAATGTAAACTTAACATACAGTATCATTTAGTTCAACATAAATAAAAAATAACATAAATATTGAAGTAGATCTTCAAAATATTCGGGTTGGTCGTTTTGATAACATTCTAATCTTGAATAAAAATTTCCTCTCACATTATTCAACATAATATATGGTGTAACCGACATAAACGCAAGCGTTATTTTTCTTTTTCGAATCAGTTGAACCTTGGTTAATTTTGTATACCATACTTTCCATATATACAAAAAGGTCAGGTGATCGTGGTGATATTTTACTTTGGTAACGAATTTTGTTTATCATATGATTTTATTTTAATCCCTTTTAAATATCAAGCATATACTTAACCACTTAAAATTTTAGAAATTGAACCCTGAGAGTATTAAATTTAGGAATGGAACTTTTACACGTTGAGATTTAATTTTGAAATAAAAAAAAGTAATTCACGATTTCTTATGAATATACACAATGATAGAAATAATGAATTCATTTAATTTGATAGTAACACATTGATGTTAACAATATAATGAATAAAACTCACATCAACTGTAAAATATTCCGGGTTGCTCGTTTCAGTTCAGTTTGAAGTATTTTCATGTTGAGGAGCAACGAAAATATGAAACGAATGAACCAATCATTATTTCAATTAAGGCATTGTACCGAATACTCTAGACGTCAAAAACCCCTTCGATTTGAATGTTGTTGAATAATAATGAGGATTACCCCATGTACTCTTGACTTCACGAAGGATCTACTGAAATTGTTTTAGAATTCATTCATTATCCATGACCTCCAATAGCAAGGGATTGTCTTCGTTGTACGGCTAAATAATCAACGTTTAGTTTAATGTGAACTTAATTATTCATTGTCTAAACTATAGTAAGACAGTTTTTTTCCACTTATTTCTCTGAACTAATATTCGAACCGACCGATCTGCCTCTGCAGTTTGATGCACTTGTATATATAAACAAATCGATATTTGTCGAAAGTTCTTGAATCTCTTCCTATTTTTTGGAGAAGCTTAATACATGTTGCATTGGTGACAATGTTAGATCACGTGATATATCATCTATACGTTCAGTAGCGGTACTGTAAAGAATGGGGACAGATGCATAACGCTGTTTGGTATATTCAAACGATACAAAATAGTGTGGCTGAAATGCGGATTAGTGTTAAAATAGAATGCAATCAAAAATTGAGTTATTTTATGCCTGGGTAAATATCCAAACACAGTGATATGACAACTAAATTTTATCTCACCTTCAACCGGCATCATCCATATGCTCCAAAATAAAAAGCAATTTTAAAGAAAGTTGAGACCATGTGAGCTCGTCTACCTGGCACTTGTTTGTTTATAATTCTGGGTTCAAAAATCAGTTTATATAATGATATTCAATTACCGTAGAAATGTAATCAAAAATAGTCTATTCGTGTCTGGACCTATCTCAAAAGCTTTGATCCGCTTGACAAAAAATTTAAGGAAATATTTTCCTTCACAACAGTACTAATTGAACGATGACAGGAAAATTTTCAAGTCACTTTCCAGAGGAAAGAGTCGCTAGGAACAAAATTAATAAACTAGTTCAAGAACTTTCGTTTCTTTTAGAGACAGAAACTGAAATTGTTCTTATTCGTTGACGAACTGGTATGGCATGAGGTAAATTGTCTGTTCATTAAAAGATAATAAAAAAATTACTGGTATCAACAATATTTTCGCCACTAATATCTAATAAAAATTATATATAATACATAATTTTAGGTCTCTCCTTATTGGAAATAAAAAAATTGAAATTGTTTGAAAATTTCAATATTTGGGTACTTATATCTTCGAATAATTTACTGAATCTCAATGAACGTGACACAGGACAAAATGCTAGAAAAATTAGATTTCCATCAGGAATAATAAAATACTTAGCGAAATTCAGGATTTGTTTGTCAATCTATCCATGTATCATATAGCCTCATTTTCAATATTATTCAACTATTTTATTCTCATTAAGTAAGCGTCAGATGTAAGTTTTACAAAAACTGAGAAATAGGGCCCTGAGAATGATATGTTTCACAAATATATAAAATGGATGCAATTGAAATTTTAAGTATTCGACAAACTGAATACCTATATCTTTTTATATGAACTCATGCATCCGTAATATCTCCTTAATAATGTTTAATACTGCAGAAATAGTTTCAAAATATGACGGAATTGAATATGTGTAATGTCAATTCCATTCTGAAATAGATATATTGTTTCTGTATTAACTGTGTCTAAGTCAGTGTCACTATTTTTCGAGTTTGAAGGCCGTAGATTTTGGAATTTCTTCCTGACGTTTCGCTTCTTCCGAGGTGACTCATCATCGAAGATAAACTTAGGATGCATAAACCTCTAAAGAAGCTAACCACTCGCTCCAGCGAAACGTCAGAAAGAAATTTCAAAAATTGACGGCGTTTAAACCCAAAAAATAGTAACACTGAAAACCTCGATCGCGAAAGCCTTAACCATTTTGCCTGTGTCAAGGCTTTTTTGAGCCTTATCCATCTCGTTTAAGAACGACACATATGAGTATCTAATTTTGACATTGTTGATTCTCATATGGTATTTAACTGAACTAAAAAAAAATAATAACACTGAAACTGTATTTTCATTCACCTATTTTTTCAGTACCATCACTCGGCACTAAAGGTGCCATGAAGGAAAAAAGTAAAAATGCAGCCAGAAGTAGAAGAGAGAAAGAAAACGCAGAATTTCTGGAACTAGCAAAACTTTTACCACTACCTGCTGCAATCACATCACAATTAGACAAAGCCTCAGTTATCAGACTGACAACTTCTTATTTGAAAATGAGGCAGGTGTTTCCTGATGGTAAGTCATAATTCTACACAAAAACTCAACGTGTAGTGTGTTATTGTCTTCCACGTAAAACTATTCAGACATATCGTCCTTTTTTTAAACTAATAACGTTTGTTCATGTTTTGGCTGCATTAAAGAGTGAAATGAAATAAAATAGTTGATAAGCTACCGAGAATCCAGTAGACATATAATCTACTTGGACGAAACTTGGTTTGACACCCATGATGTTGTCAAATATGGCTGGGTAGACGAAACCAAGTATTGTTCTTTGAACACACCTTCTTCAAGGGGAAAACGTGTTATAATTTTGCATGCCGGGAATGAAAGTGGTTTCCTACCTAACGCTTTTCTTCTGTCGGCCAAAAATATAAAAGATTCGTCTGCTGATTACCACGAAAATATGACTGCGGATTCATTCGTAACCTGGTTCAGTGAGCAGCTTCTTCCAAATATTCCTCCAAACTCGGTTATTGTTATGGATAACGCTTCGTATCATTCTCCGTTATTGACTAAAATACCAACCAATAACACAAAAAAAAGCAGATATTTTTGATTTCATGCGAAATCATGACATAGAAATACCCAAAAAGATTAAACGAAAAAGGTATTACAGGCGACCATAAGACACTGTAATTTCAAAAAAAAAGTATATTATTGATTCGATGTGTGAAACACGTGGTCATATTCTCTTACGTTTGCCTCCATACTATTGCGTGTTCAATCCAATTGAAATGGTTTGGGGCACAATGAAAGAAAGCTTGCGGAAATGTAATCAGCCACCGACTTTGAATGCTGTAGTGCTTGACAATATAAGACGAGTGGTGAATGAAGTAGGTAACAGTGATGTGTGGAAGAACTGTGTGGCCCACATTATAAAAAAAGATAACAAATATTATGTGCAAAGTTCCATAAATCCGATCGTTATTCAACCCGAAGATGAATCCACCTTATCCGAATATAGCGACGAAGAATTTTGATTTTTCTAGCAATTTTGTCAATGTATGTTTGACGATAATTCGGTATGATTATTTGTGTTTTCATTGCATTTTAGAGTTTTCGACTCGGAAATTAAATACCTTAAATTTCGAAGTTTTTCATAATTACCCATGGTGGAAAAATTCAGTTGAGATAACTTTTTCATGGGGTGATCAATTGCTATGATTGTAAGAATAAGTAACTGAAAAACTACCACTGAAAAATAATATACCGACGCCTATGTCGAGGCGGGAATTCCTTCTCTGTGCTGTTCCAATTGGTATTGGAAATACTATACAAACAAACAAACAAACATTCTTTTCTTTTTATAATATTAGTTCCGTCGACTTCATTCCAACTGACAATCATCTCACACTTTTGTTATCGACATGATTATTCTCTCTTAACTAAAACTCACAAAAGTTTTTTTTTCTTTTTGTTGCGTTCGTTCTCCGTTTGAATAACTTGACGGTGAATTATTCCTTTGAATCATAATTTCTGAATTGTTCACTTCCCAATCTCCTATCTTATTATTCTATCATGCTGCACTAAATGCAGCATGATGGCAGTGAATGAATAGGAAGATTCAAACTTCTCAGAAATAACTGGCTTCTACAGACTACGAACGTTTATGAATAATTTGATAGCGATTAAGATAACGATATTTTGAATAAATTACTGTTTACCAATTGTGTGCTATTTTAAATTAGTATTGTCAATATGGGGTACTTTATCTCCACCTCAAATCGCATTATCCTTTTACGCCATTCACATATTCAGCACCTGATTATATCTAAACATTGAGTGACAATAGATATCCATAAAGAAATATAAATATGCTCAATATACCTCATATAATTTTGTCTTTTTATTTATCTGTGAAGTGTATCGCTAGGGTGACCATAGTTCAAGGTGGAAGGACAAAATATAAATTTTGGTTTACATAAGGATGTCTAATACAGCACTTCACGATTTGACGTTTTCATGGTATCTTTCATGTACTTTGGCACACCCATGCATAACGGTCAATAATACCAGATGTTAAATGCTCTAGAGAAAATTCAGAAAAATTAAACAGAAAACAGTAAATTAATTATAAAATAAAATACAAGCCGTTAAGTGCAAGAAAAAATAGGTGACTTCCATACAGAAGAAGTGTGAAAAATATTCTCCTTTCAGACACCTTCAGGAATTTCTTTTCCAGAAACAACTTTGAACCATTGATTCTTATGAACATAATTAAAAAATATCGAATAACTTTTTCAGAAAATATCATGAAAACATAGTTATGTGTGTTGTCATATTTTTAAATTTTGCCCCTATAATTCTGTTTCTTCACATTCCTGAATATCCAGTTATAATTTACGTTCATTTTCAGTGCCTTTACTGAACCATTCAATAAGTAATAACTACGGAAGTGGACAAAATTTTTAAGTCATTTAATATCATTTAAATATTTATATTTTCATTGAATAATATTTGTAATACTGCAATCCAGTCTCCATATTTTTCTAGCAAAAAAAGTTCATTTTCAAGTTGTAGAAATGTTAGCCACAGAAAATTGTCAATTATTCATCGAATAATAAAAGCTGAGGGCAGTGGAATGAAAGAAATATTTTCCAATTTTATAAGGGGTGGATAAGAAAGTAAGTAAAATACACACACATATTGATGACTTATTTTTTTTTTGGAATGTAATGCATATTTTCTAATAGATATCTATATCTACTGATTACTTATTTTAATTGATCCCTCCTATACAAATCTCTCAACTTTGTGTGAATCCTCATATTCACTCCCAAAAGTAAATGCGTATTCAAAAACACCGAAAATTCTAACATATCGTATTCATACATTTTGCCTACAAATTGAATAATCAATGAAAATTAAATTTCTATGCTCACCTTTTTTCAGATGGTTAACGTTTCGGACCACTATCCCACTATCCTTTTCCTTTCTCAATCGGAACCTTAACCTTAATCGGAACCTTAATCGGAAACGAGTATATTTCTTCCGACAAACGTAATTATTTTGACAAAAACTTTTTGTCATGAATAACATGGAAGCCATTTATGAAGACGAATGTCATAAAGTCGAAACAAATAATAAAAAAAATGTGTATTTTATTTTATTCCTATCGAACCCTAACAGATTTTGAACATTAATATCATCTACTATTATTTTTTCAAGATTATTGATGAACAATATTCAGTATTATCAATTGAGAAAATATTTAACGAAATCAATTACCACTGAATTAATATTAAATTATCAAAATCGCCCAAATGAATCATAATAGTGTATTATTTTGATTGATCATTTGATTTCAGTATATTATGATTTTTTTAGGGCTGGGAGATGCTTGGGGTGCAACCCCCGCAATTCCAAACCCTAGAGACACACCCATCAAAGAACTGGGATCATACCTTTTACAGACATTGGATGGTTTCATCTTCGTCGTAGCTCCAGATGGAAAAATAATGTACATATCAGAAACTGCGTCTGTTCATTTAGGTTTATCACAGGTAAAATAAAATTTCCTAAAAAGCAATCTCATTAAAACGAAACAGGTGAAATAAAAATGAATTCAAATATAAAATCGAAATAGACAAGAAATTCTAATATTTTTTTCTAGGTAGAACTGACAGGAAACAGTATATACGAATATATACATCCAGCAGATCATGATGAAATGACAGCCGTACTAACACCCACCATGTTCCCTCCCGGGGTGACGCCATTGCATGATCATGAAAGCGAAAGAGCATTTTTCCTCAGAATGAAATGTGTTCTGGCGAAAAGAAACGCAGGATTAACAAATGGCGGATACAAGGTAAAAGCTTTTTTTTAACTTTTTCATTCGAACTCATCTTCGCAAAACTTTCGAAAAACTGTTACTGAAGGCATCATTTTGAATGAAAGAATATGTTGGCCAGAAAATAAGGCAGAACAAAGAGGGATAAATTACAAAAAGTGGGTAATGAAGAATTCAACACAAACTTCTTGATTTTTTTATTGTCATTATAAATATTGAAGCTCCAAAGATATTGGCACTTCACTTGAAGATTTTGTGTTTTTAGCGATCTGAGCGATTGAACACCTGAGTTGGCTAACACCTGATGAATAACTGGAGAGTTATGATGTCACAAGGATATTTAAAAAATACTAAATCAGAGCTCTAATTTTTCCTTCGCAAGTGCCTCTTTCGAAGTATTTTTCCTCAGGGTGATATAATTAGCAAGCTTGAGCCCTGTGAATCCCTCGCCATTTTAAACCCATTAGTTTGACATAAATCTTCACTCAGCTGACCCTCGCCTGAGGTTTGTTATGTGTGTTTTAAAATGTATTCCACATCATGAAATCCGGCATCGCTGAATCCTTCCTTTGAACTCTGGATATGAATTAGATCAAGGGCATACAGAATTAGTTTTGGAATGACGGCTAGTTACGTTTTATTGACGACGAGATCATCGGCATGATTTTAATGATTCATGTAGCTATGCTCGGGAAGTTTTGTTATCAGATTGTCCATTTCGAACAACCAAAGCAAAGGCAATAACACCCCCTCTTCCGAGAATGGCTACTATTCGATGGATTTGTGGAAAGTTTCCTCGAAGGACCTTCTAGCGATGAAGCTAAAAAGAGACATTTTTGTCTCAAACGTCTTTTTGATGACTCTTCCAAATTATTGAAATTAAAATCATCACTTGTACCTGGTGGACCATTTGAATTATCAAATTGTCGATTTCCAACAGTTACAGCAAAGGCGATAACACTCTCTCTTCCAATAATGTGCTATACGATTTTCAGCATTGACTTATCAGAGAGTCATGAATTTTTAGCTTCTCTAATATAACGATGGATTTGTGTGAGGTGTTCTCAAAGCACCTTCTATCGATGAAGTTATAAAGAGTTTTCTATGCCTCAAATATGTTTTTGATGACTCTCCCAAATTATTGAGGACTTTGAGTAACATTTAAGCTATCACTTTTCATTGATGGGTCTTTTGGATTGAATAATTCTTGTAAAATGGTCGCTAATTGAAGTTGACGACTAATAATTGTTCGCACTCGACGGGGAGAATATACTCACCTTGGGATGGAACAACGCCTCTACATGATGTGATTTCAAACAGATCTGGTCATTGCAACTGTCGTGGTAGAACAAAGTTGCTGTTACTAATATGCTCACTCCTATTTGGAGTAGTGAGGTGAACTTTGGAGGAGCTGTATCCGCAAAGGAGTCTGCATCCCAAATAGTCTATTTTACAGTAATACTTTTCCCGATGACAAGTATGGCTTAGACTTCTGAATGTGGATGAGCCTCAGGCTGATACGAGCAAATAAGCCTGATGTAGTCCTCCTTAACCATCAAAGTAGATGTTTAAGGGTCAAGTTTCTGTAACCTATATTTTGTGCTCGAGGTATTCAATGTCATTTTTAGCGAAACATTCATATTATTTGAAACTTGATTATAGTTGAGAAATTATTACGAAGTCATCTCGGCAGGTTGTTAGGCCAACATTTCAACAATTTCGAGCAAACTATTTTAATTTTACCATATTCAGTACATGTTTTGGCCACTCGACGAAATTTTTAGGTCGACAGTAATCACCTTTAGATTCTCAAAAAAGTCATGGTTACTGTTCCGTGCAGAGTATTCCTTCTGTGAGGTATTCTGTGGCTTAATCACAAATACATTGCTGCACTCAACTGTCCTCAATGGACAAACCATGAGTTAGTAAGGTCGGTGATATCACCCCTTTCGATAATGACATTTATAAGATTAACAGATAACCCAATCCTCGAATATCAAAGATGAACGAGGCTGCTCAAGGCGATTCATTGCAAAGCCAAACTTCGAAATCTATCGCCGACGAGATGTGTCCTCCATCTTTCACTGCAGCCTCCTCTGCAAGGCTTACTGATAAAGGCAGTTACAGTTGAGTTCACCAATTTATTTGTAGTTCAGCCTATCACCACTGATGAAGCCTATGACGAGTCGAAACAGTGTTTTCTGGTGTTGAATTATAAATGCCTTGTTTTTGGGCTCTGGTTTTCAGCTAGTAGCCTTGCAGTGAAAGACAGAGAACATTCTTGACGGCGGTCAATGTCGAAACTTAGCTTACCAGACCGCCTTAAGAAGTCTCGTTTATCTTTGATATTAGAGGAATGAGTTCTCTGTGGATCCCATAGATGATCTCTTCGAACAGGAAGATGTTGTCGGTCTTCCATATGTATATTGTTGAATTTTAAAAAGTTATGAAAGAAATACACCTTAAAAGACACGTAACCAACAAACGACCACAACAGAAAATCACTCACAATATCATTCTCTTCAATAATTTGAATAAGTACCACCACAGCTGAATGAAGTATAATATACGTGGTTTGATTTCTATGCATTTATTAGACGTGTATTCAAATTTTTATGGCACTCTGCACTTTCGAATGGCAATTTGGAATTATTAAGTATTCTGTCGTTGCAAAATTACCAATTATCGTGGTAATTGAATGATGAGACTCATGTGAAGCATGAATGCATATAAGCAATTCATGTGAATATGCATATGGAGGAACACGTCTTGCATATTTCCACTCGATTACAGGACTAATCCGTTCTCTCATTAGGTACTCTTGCCAAGCACTCAGTATTACAATTAGGTTATTATCGCACAAAGAACTTGTGGTTGTCTCAAAAGTTTCGTCCATTTCAATGTCCATGTCAATATCTCAATGAATATTTATTCTACTGTGTCGTAGTATATACTGATCGATAGAGAATTTTGTACTCTATTCATAGATGTTGTTTATTTTCTACAAAATTTTTATTTTTTGACTCATTTCAGCTTAATATTATATGATGTCGTTAAGCGATTCTCGACAAATTTTTCTCTACGAATTCAAATAGAACAAAAGCCCTGCCGAAGTAGCCCGAAAAATTAACCAGGCATTTGGCAACGATAGTGTTAATGAAAGCACGGTGCGACGTTGGTTTGCGAAATTTCGTTCCGGAGATTTCAATCTACAAGATGAGCGATTTTGAAAATTCAAAACGACAGAAATTGTCATGTTTCCAAGTCTGTTCGTCTCTACTTTTGCACAACCAACACGATTTTTTTTGGATCAGATCGTCACGTGTGATGAAGAGTGGATCCTCTACGATAACAGGAGACGTTCAAGATAGTGGTGTGACACCGATGTGCCACCCAGGTACTTTCCAAAGGCGAAACCCCACCATAAAAGGCAATGGTTACTGTGTGATACATTATAACTTTCTGTAACCGGACCAAACCATTACAGCGGAGTACTATTGCGAGAAAATCGACGGCATGTACCGAAAATTTTGTCAGCAGCAGTCGACACTGGTCAATGAAAAGGTACAATCCTGCTCCACGACAACGCCTTTTCGCACGTTTCACAAAACACTGTTCGAAAATTAAACGAATTGAGCATCGAAGTTCTGCCTCACCCACCATACTTCCCAGACCTATCACCAATCGACTACCATCTTATCAAGCACATCGATAACTTTCTCACTGGTAGAAATTTCGCTAATCAGGACCAGGCATGAACGGCTTTCGTCGACTTCATCGAATCCTGAGCACATAATTTGAATACTGACGAAATTGATTTAATTGTGTTACGTTGGCAAAAGGGCACTTATTCAAATGATGCTTATTTTGATTAAATTGAATACGTTTTCACTGAGATATTACAGTTTCAAAGTAGATTCATAAAAATGGACAAAACTTTTGAAGCAACCTAATACATCATATATACGTTTTGGGTGAACAAAATGTCTGAATGTACAGGAAAATAGTATTAAGTTGAATTGAAATATCATGAATGTCTGAAGTTCATCTTTATTTTTAATGAAAAAATTGTTTATATGTTGCTTGTAAGAAAATTCAAATACAATTGAAAAATGTGTGTTTTTTATGAAGGAAAGGGCTTATTTATTATGAATAGTTGACCGGTTTGCAATCAATTCTTTTCCAATTTCAACATTTATTGTTTCACTTCTAGAAGTTGTGGTAGAATTGTGGTCAAAATACCTACCTTTTACTCTTCAACATCAGTTACGAAATCTTTCACTTTACGTAGCTCATCAAGGAGTCTCATTCTTAACTATATTTTATTTTGAAAATGTTGAGAGGCTTGCTTTATTTCATCTTCGACGTCTCTACATTTAAACAGGAAGATTTGTGTTCTACACAAAAACAGCAAATATTTTTGAAAATGTTTATAACCAAATGTTTCTCAGAAATAAGTGTCGGAAAGTTTTTGAACCAAAAAAAATATAATGAAAAATTATTTACTTTCTGATTTTCTGTAGGTAATAATCATTTTTGTTACCTGAACAATTTTTTTTGTAAAAAAAATGTCAACACTATAAACCGTGCGCAGTTTCACCCACGAAGAGTTTGCTTCTAACGAATAGCACGAGTAAGTCGTATCTGTTTAAAAATATGTTTTTCCGTTAATCAGCTGTCGCCCCCATACGAACGACACCTCTCAGAAGTTGAGAAACTTGTGCGCGCTAGGGACTAACGGGGTCTAACCGTTTAACGTGTGATTCCTAATAAATATTGATTGAAATTAGCAAAAAATACGTAACCGGAAAACATTTATACCTTTATCGATTACAGAGTTATAAAGCAGTTTTCTATATAAAAATATCAGTGATCGGACATGTAGACGAAAAAAAAAATGTATGTTTATGTTGATTTTTGCAGAAAAACAAACAGAATAAAAATATGATAGGACGGAGCAATACTTGATGAAAAAAAACACACTTTAATGTGACATATCTACTTGAAAAGTGGAATTCTCACATTAACATGGGTTTTTCTAATTCGAGACAAAACGATATTAAAGTAGGATACACCTTCAAGGAGTCCATTGAACAAAGTTGTGAGGCAGCCTTTGTGTTCAATTATATTTGTTATTTCGGTTAGGAGGGCGAAATAAGCTTCATTGAAATGGATAAGGTCATTTCAGAGCTATTGTTATGGTCACGCGTTTGAGGAATCGTGCATTGGAATACACTAAGTTATAATTAATGAAAAATAATACATTGATAATTCACATTGAGAAAACTGCTGAATGGGCAAGGTTGAACTCAATTTGATTCAGTTTATTTTTCCTGTTACTTTCGTACTACCAATAATTTACGAAGAAAACATACACAAATTTTTCTAATTTGCTGAAACAATTCGAAATTTTTAAATATTTGTTCTGATTATTTTTCCGTCATTTACTATTTATCATGATAAATTTATCAAATATGCTGAACTAATTGACAAGTCAGACTGTATATATTTTTCCACAGTAATTACCACAAACTCTGTATGTGAAGAAACATCTCACTAACGATTAATCACCAAAAGTTTCTTTCAATTGCTGGACTTTTAAAAGTTCTATTTCATTTACTGCATGATAGTTTATTAAGTACTATATACTTTTCTATCAAGAGGTTTCAAAATTCTATAAGTAATGGTACTCTATAAGTATGACTTTGAAAACACTGACCCCTCACTTGATAGACATTGATAACACTGTACATTATGAACTACGAACATTATGAACTTCATATGATACCCACTATATAGCAGCTTATTCAGTTGAACAATTTTTTCCAATTGGGAAAGTAGGAAAATGAACCAAAACTCGCACCTTCCAACAAATCGCAATTGAGCAGATTCATAACTCATTACTTCGAAACAAATAACAGATGAACAAATTCATAACTTCTCAGTTGTTTTTCAGTTATCTTCAGTCGCAAGTGAGCTTTGAGAATTCACCTAATCCAAAATAAGTTCTCAAACGTCGAACTTAATCATTGAACTGCCAGTTTGTTTCCAAATATCTGTTAAATCTTAGTTTGCTTCTTTTCATGAATTTTGATGATATTTCTCTACGATATATCTCACATCTTATTTTGGAATATTGTTAGTATGAGTCATGAAAAAGTATAGATTAGACGAAACTAAAGAAGAGAATGGAATAAGCATGGAAGAAGTAGACGCTCTAAAAAAGAACAAAACAATTAAAGTTGGCGGAAAAGATAATATTCATCCAGAAATAATTAGCTCCTAGAAATATATTTGAGATTTCTCAAATCTTTGAAAATATCCTGAAAACGCTCATATCTATATTCAACTAGGTATATCGTTTTGAATACATTATCTAGTACCTTGTATCTGGGGAGCCAATTACAGCGAGATATTGAAAAGAATAGGTACAAGTTAATTTATTCAATAGATTCTTTTCCTGTCTCGTAACTCGCCAGATTATCTTATATGATTAATGATAGGTTTTTCCACATTGAATATACCAATGAATCAGAAGCTTTATTCAATTCCATCTAGCACATAACTGGATTGAATTATTCTCTTTCTTCTTCGAAGATTTTTATTTTCTGTATAAAGATGAATGAGTAGAACGTCAAAACCTTTTTTTAAGAAAGCGCTTTTGAAATTTACTTGAATTTGATCAAGGTGACACACGATATAATTGGGTAAATGAATTTCAACGATGGTTCGGCTCAATCGATTAATGTTAGAAAAAATATGTGAAAATTCATTTTTCCGTTAACTAGCTGTCGCCCCCCTACAAACGACAACTCTCAGAAGCCGAAACTAGAACGAGCTAAGAATTAATGAAGTTCTACCTTTTAACATGTGATTCCTAGAAATATTGATTACTAGCGGACTCGGCGAACGTCGTTCCGCCTAACAGTCAATGGATTAGCAGATTTAGGATTCTAAAATTGATACAAAATTATTAGGTATATTGAAATAAATGGTATTGATTTATAATAAAATAAATGGGAATCAGTAAAGCACCCAGTGATATACATGTGAGCTGTCAGTTGCGTTTGACTATAACACGTCACTATTATTACTGATGTTGACTCTTTTATCATTATTATTTTTCTTCACTAATCCAAAAATACAAAAATCATAAAAATTGGTCCAGCCGTTCTTGAGTTCTTTCATAATCATTATTATTATGATTTTTATTGATAGAGATCCTACTCTCCAGAGGCATAACGTTTAAGATCATAATCCAGTTCGCATTTATGACGATGTATCTCTGTAGTTGTTCGTAAAATAATTTTTTGCTGCGAACTGGTTTATTTTGGGCAAAAAACCCAAGACAAATTTTTTGTTTAGAATGAAACAGGCTATCGGTAATAAATTTTTAAATGGTAAACAAATAATAAGACAAAAAGTTACATTGGAAATAAATTTAAGGGGTTGCGTTTTCCACCCCTTACAACAATGGGGCAAACCAAATAAATTACATGCTAAGTGTCTTTTTGGTAGTACAAAACGTCAGGTTAATTTCAATATTGTAACTTTTTCAGTGCTTGTGAAACAAAATGTTATACAAATTTCATGTACCCCCTTTAACAGAGATGTATCTTAACAAGGGATGCTCCATGAAGTTTCTTTATATGAAAGATCCTTTTTTTTCGATGAGTAATCACCTCCTTAAATGTTTTACCCTTATTCAGTTACACCCTGTACATAAAAGAAATTTGATCAATATTAAGCGCTACTCTACCCAGCAAACATAGACATGTGCAATGGATTTTCATCAAGTATCGGCCAGTTCCATCACATAAACTAATATAAAATTTAAAAAACAAGTTTCACTGTAAAAATCTTGGGATGCTTGAAACCTGTAGGTATTTGCAATTTCATATGAGTTTTTAAGTCAACTTATCTCCTGTTATACAAATTTTATGTACCCCCTTTAAGGGGATGTATCTTAACAAGATATGCTCCAATGAAGTTTCTTTATATGAAAGAACCTTTTTTTTCGATGAGTAATCACCTCCTCAAATGTTTTACCCTTATTCAGTTACACCCTGTACATAAAAGAAATTTGATCAATATTAAGCGCTACTCTACCCAGCAAACATAGACTTGTGCAATATAGGTATTTGCAATTTCATATGAGTTTTTAAGTCAACTTATCTCCTAAAAAATATCTCACGTTTAAAACAGAGATCCTTATTACCCGGTTACTGTCACGGATAGCTAACACTTTTAGCAAAATGCTCTGTGCATATAGAACCATTAGGTATATTTCATTTTCAAATGGATTGAAATTGTATCCATAGATGCTTTTTCAATTGAAACTTACTAGTTTCTAATGAGTAGGTATATTTTGTAATAACAGTTGTTAGAGGCTTTTTGAGAGATTGTTTCAGAATATTGCATATATTACATGAGGTTAGTTGAACTTACTCATGTCATTCTAAAGGAGTGGTTGGTCAAATCATCTATCTAAAGGAACAATTCTTTTAGGCCAGTCTTCCCTTACCTACGCAGTAGGTTCATAAACTTGCACCTATAAGAAAACAGCTACTCCCTGAACGAATTAACCCTTTAGATGATTCGATTTATAACTACTCTTCAAGTATGGCCACTTAGTATTGGAGTGGTGGATTTCAACAGCTGGCTAGTTCTACCTCACGAGTACAACCTATTCACTTTATATATAAGGTAAAATGAAGTTGTTTTTTATCATCACTACATGTTCTTGAGTAATATTTCATATGTTCCGTCGTATCTTTTCCTAATTCCATTTTCAATATACCTATTATTAAATATTTTCAGAAGTTATAATCGTTATTCTTACATTTCCGTTATATATGTTTACTCCCCATTTTCATTATTTCCATATGAAACTTGTCTATTCGAAAGAAAATAGTGGGATTAATTCCACTCATTCACTATTTTTACAGGTTATCCACTGTTCGGGTTATCTCAAAATAAAGCAATATAGCGCTGGATCTGGACCTTACGAAGCTGGCTGTTATCAGAATATGGGTTTAGTTGCAGTAGGCCACTCGTTGCCACCTAGTGCTATTACCGAAATCAAACTCCACACGAACATGTTTATGTTTCGAGCAAGTCTTGACTTAAAACTAATTTTTTTGGATGCACGGTAAGTTAACCTCACGATATGAAAAGTTGCATTCAACAAAGCAATAGTTACGAAATTGTTTGAAATTACTTTTTCTTGATCCCCACAAAGACAACAATAACCATTGAGATGAATGAATTGATGTACAGATATTTTAGTACTTCATTGTTGTCAATTCCTTTGATAAAATGTTGGATTTGGTCATTGTTTCTGAAACCGATGCTTCCTTCCGTTAATAGTAGGGGAGACCGGTATCAATTGTAACAGGTGTCAATTGTAACTTTGATATATATCCCGCCATCTGTCGAGAAAAAGAAAAATGTATGTCCTGGTGAAATAGCTTACTACAAGCTACTCAGGATGAAGTACTATCAATTTGTCAACAATAGTGTATTAGCCTGTGGAACGTACGAATATGATTTTTGACCTAAAATGTAAGTATTGCATTCCGTAATTATTGAGCCTTCCCCAAACACAATTATTATATTGAAATCAGGCTGTTTTGGCAATAATATTCACACTGATTTTATTCCCAAATTTGAAGCTTATGTTGAATGGAATGATTCTTTAACGGTTAGGGAGCTGTTGGTGTCGATTGTAATAGATTCGAGGGTGTTAATCGTAAAATGTTACAATTGACACCAGTTTAGGTGATATCAGTATTTATTCAGATCTTTACAGTGTGAAAAAATGGTAAAACCTAGAGTCAAGAAGACCAATAGAGATGAAATTCCTCAAGAGTTGTACGAGCAGGCTGCTTATGATGTTATTAATGGAAATGCAAAAGTCAGGACAACAGCAAAAAAATATGGAATGTGCCATGTTTCTCTCAGGTGATTTGTTATTGCTTAGAAGAATAATAAAACCCACAAGTTGGTTTCCATCCACATAATACAGTTTTTACTTCCGAATAGGAACAGCCATTGGGCAAGTACTGCACAATTTGTTCCAAACTGTATTTTGGACTCACACCAAAGGATTTACGCAAATTAGCTTACCAGTTTGCCAAAAAAATGTGTGTAAAATTCCACAGGGGTGGGAAAGGACTGAAATTGCGAGTGAGGATCGGTTTGCAGCATTTTTAAAGCGTCATCCGGATCTGTCCATACGCACTCCTGAATCAACCAGTTTAGCAAGAGCTGTGAATTTCAATCAAGAAAATGTCAATACATTTTTTGACAACCTGGCTGATGTCTTACAAAGATACAATTTTGGACCGAACAATATATACAACGTAGATGAATCCGGGTGCAAACCGGTTCAAAAACCTAATAAAATCATAGCAACAAAAGGTGTGAACCAGGTGGGTGAAACGTTAGTTGCGATATGTGTAGCCGTAAATGATAGGGAACATTATACCACCCATGTTCATTTTTCCCTTGATGAGATATCATGAACATTTCATAAGAGATAGGCCACCTGGATTCATCGGATCTGGTAACAAGAGCGGTTGGATGCAAGAAAGTGAATTTCTGATTTTCATGAAACATTTCGCACATTACGTGAACCCAAACACAACAAATAGAGTCCTGCTTATTTTTGATAACCATGTCTCGCATCTGTCTATTCCCGTTATAGATTTTTGCAAAGAAAACTACTTAACATTAATTACATTACCACCGCATACGTCCCATAAATTGCAACCGCTGGACCGCAGAGTTTATAGGCCTTTTAAAAATTTTTTCAATAATGAATGTGATCAGTGGATGGAGATAAACCCGGGCAAATGAATGACTATTTACAATATACCATCAATAGTGCGAGACGCTTTACCACTTGCTGTAACTCCCAGAAATATCACTGCCGGTTTCGAATGATCAGGAATATGGCCTTTGAATAGGAATATCTTCACTGAAGATGAATTTGCACCTTGTAGTGTCACTGATAGACCCGTGGGAGCAAGTTTAGTGGAAAAAGACACGTCTAGATCAAATGTCGAAGAAAGTAACAAACCCCAACCCAGCACATTGACAGCTCCTTCAACACCAATCCGGCCGCGTAATAGTACAGATATTCTGCACCTAATTCCAGTGTCTCCTATGAAAGCCTATACTCCGGAGCAAGGTCGTCCTTTGCCAAAAGCTGATTTCAGCAAACCAAAATGCACTTCATCCAGACGAAAAGGGAAAACTGCAATTATAACCGACACACCTGAAGAAACTATTGGAAGAACTATAGAACAACAGGAAAGTGTCTTCCGCTAAAAAAAACGTTATGGCATGTAAAAAAACTGGTAAAATAAAAAACCTCGCAAAGAAGCGAAAGATTGTCGAACAATCATCGGAAGAGTCATCTGAAGATGACACTATATGTTTAATATGCTGTGGTCCTTACTGCAGCAGTAAAGAGGACTGGCTACAGTGCAGGAAGTGTCAAGGCTGGGCTCATTCTTCTTTTGCTAAGAACGATCCTTCATTTGTCTTCAATAATTGTGAGCCCTCAGATTCAAATTAATTTTGTGTCACATATTTTTCCCGAACTTTTACTTTCAGTTTTCGTTGTTGGCATTCAATAGTTTTCATGTTGTTATTTGAAATGACATTTTTTGTATTGTGTTATAATAAACTATGATATAGGATATCATTCAACCTGCAATAATTGTGAGTCCTCAGATTCAAATTTTTTGTCACATGTTTTTCCAGAACTTTTACTTTCAGTTTTCGTTGTTGGCATTCAATAGTTTTCATGTTGTTGTTTGAAATGACATTTTTTGTATTGTGTTATAATAAATTATGATATAGGATATCATTTATTCTCATTTAGAATAAAATAAGAGTTGCTTCACATTGATATGTCAAGGGCTTGACATAAAATTTCATTCTTACGTAATTTCATATGACCTTCACGTGTTTTTATAATCCTGTTACAATTGACACTTCAAGTGTTACTATTAACACCAAGATGGTGTCAATAGTAACATTTGGTTTTTGACAAAAAATATATTTCTGGAGTTAAAGTTAATTGAATTACACCAAATCTGACTATGTCACGTTATTCCAAAAGCTTGAAGTAACCCTTTGATGTTTTCATTTTCACAAGTTGGTGGTTACTATATTCAGGAAAAAATCAAAACCAATTTTTGTTACAATTGATACCAGTCTCCCCTAATCGAAGATATTCATCACCCTGCTCTTGATATTTACATAAGTCAAAAAAATTTGAATACATTTGGATAAAAGCTATAACTATAGGAAAGTATTCTTTGCAAGCTTGTATAGGTATATTCTCATTTATATCGATTGGTCTTCTTTAGAAGGTCCATAAGTAGGTATTGATGAAATGTGCTTATTATAATAAAATTTACTTTTTATTAGATATATTAATGCCTTCCAAAATATCCTAAATTTAAAATAAAGTACCTACCCTATATAGTATTCATCTGACTACCCGTAATATAAAAAAAATATATTTCAAAAAAATCTAAAAATACAGGTATCAAAACCTTTACCATCAACTCTTGCTTTCATCAAAGCATACTTATGATGATTATCCGAAATTGTTTTGGTCATACATCCATAGTAAAAGAAATCAACCATTATATATAACGTAAAATATACATAATGTGATCTGTAGATACCCAGAAAGTATTTTTTCTTCAAAAGGGGTAGGTTTAAAAGGGGCTTGCTTTACATTACTTATGCGAGTATATTCAATACTACGTCTATTGCATTTGTTCTGTCGATACCAGGAAAATATTGCATCTTCAAAAGAGGTAGGTTTAATAGGGGCCTGCTTCACACTACTTGTGGAATTATATTCAATACCACGTCTATTGTATTCTTCAGCAGGTCTCCACCATTTTATATAAAGATCCTTCGCCATAACTTACAAAGAATAGTGGAAGTCATCTTCATTTCAAGCAGATTGGAGCTCAGCTCCCTTATCCTTAGGACTGATGCTCGTCAGAAGTATGAGCGGGTCAAGACTGATCTTTGGTGGCGGCATGAAAGTCCTCAGACATCGTTGCCGCCCTTCACGGTGACCCCTACCTGGCTGGGGTGTTTGAATTCACGGGGATCTTCCATTCAATGCACGTTGCATGTAGAAGACACCGAGCTCCCGACCCATGGAAGATGAGAGGAGAGCCGTGTCATCGGCGTAAGAGATATCTTCACACGCTCTGACCTTGGAAGGTCACTGGTGTAAAGTTACAAAGAATATATTCCTAAGTATTTCCAAGTAGATAACTACGATGCCATTTCGATCAAAATAATACAAAACCTTTCTCCTAGTGCCCTAAATGTACTGGTTTCACTGATAAATGTATCCTTTCCGCCACTGCATAAGGGCGGAGATTCTGATGATCCATTTAATCTCCGCCCTATATCTCTCATACCAACCATCGCAAAAATCATTGAAAAATTAGTTAAAAAACGACTACTTGGATTCCTAAATAAGCATAACGTCATCAGTGAAAATCAATTCGGCTTCCAGAATAATAAAAATACGCACGATGCTATTTTCTCATTTCTGAATATAGATTCTCACTTATGCTAGGTAATACCGTTTTGGGGAGCATGCAATCCAACTTTATTCAAAAGTCTATTAATTTTACAGAAAATGGCAATAAGGTATATAGAAAACCTTAAACCAAGAGACTCCTGTAGAACCTTCTTCAAAAAAACATAATATTCTAACGGTAACTGCATTATTTATACTGGAATCTGTGTGTTTAATAAATAAGCATATATTTAATTGTGCTGCATCCTCTTCCCACTATAACACCCGAAACTGCAGACACACTCTGAAACTCACTGTGCCAACAAAACCCTTTCCAGAGACTCCATATTTTACAACGGTGGAAAAATGTATAATAATTTGACTATGGAAACCGCTTTTCTTAGTAATGGCAACCAGGTACGATCCATTTCCACAGAGCTATTTGAAATACACTTGTTACCTTGTAAAAGATTATACCTATATTATACTTTGCAGTCTAGTTCTAATGTCGCCAGGACGGTACCTGGGGATGTCGGTTGAAGATGACACCCGCCTGGGCGTGGAGTTTCCGGACACCATCGAGTCTCAGGCCGCCTGTCGCACCAAGATCAGAGCTAGCGGGTGCTAGTCCACCAGGTGATCTGTCCAGCGTAGTTTCTTCCAAAAGAAAGGTCGGTCCCAACACCTTGGTTTTATGTTGCTCGCTCGGCATCGCCAAATGTGTAAAACGAGGGATCGACTTGATTTTTATTCTTCCCTACTTCTAACTAAACTAGTTGCGCCGCGGGAGTACAACTGGCCACCACGATGGCGTTCGGCCAGACCAGAGGGTTCCCTACGAGCCCTGTCTCCTAACCGACACACTTTTCGCGACTCGACCTACCTAGGGTTCCTATCCCCAAAAACGAGAACAGCCTCCGGAGGCACACGGACGGTTTTAAGCCCCCAGACGACAGTGCAATGGAACAATCCACGTGGACTACTCCTCAGTAGTACTGGGTCGGCGTACCTCCAGATGTATTCGGGCCTGGGTCGGTCGAATACGTCGGAGGAGGCTGGCTAGTTGGTCCCTCGATGAATACGTCGATTTAGAATTGTTTTTGTTAAAGTCCTGAAAAGGACGGTTTTGAACTAACAAGTTCAGTTTTTTTGGTAACTGCAGGCTCCTCGTGGAAGTCGAATTTACTCAGATTGTTCTGAAAAGGACGATTTGTAGAACTATGAAGTTCAGTTTTCTTATCGTGGCAGGCTCCTCGTCGAAATAGAATCTATCCAATTTTCCTGAAAAGGATGGTTTCGGAATTTTTGTTGATACTTTTGCCTTGAAAAAGGCAAATCCAAGTATTGGTTTTATACGAATCCACTTAGGGAAGTAATATGGGGTTTGTTTTTACTTCCCTAGTCTCAGTATGAAGAAACTCGCAGCCGTAGACTTCTTTTACAATTTCTATTTTTTTGAACCAACGTCCAATCTTTTTAGTATTATTTACTCGCTTTCTCATCAATGATTTCTCGAAGCGCGCTCAACTAAGTTCAGAACCAGATTGCCCGCGGCCCCCCATGCCCCCTCCTGGGTTAAGTGCCCTGAAGTAGAAGCTTCCCCCCCAGCCAGTTAGCGAGGAGAACCTACTACCCCACTCCATCCACCCCGCTCTCCGAGCGGTCCTCAACTTACTGATGGGCACTTTAGCAAGATTGGCATCTGACCTCTTTTGGTCGAAAGCCAGCATTTAGGTGCTATTCTTTCTGATCGGTTAAATTATTTTGTCGTGACTATTCCTAAGTGACTTTTTGCATGGGGGCCCCCAAAAACTAACCGGCGGCTGTTGTTGCTTGCGTCGGGCGTTCCTCAGCGAATCCAAGGATGTTTGAGTCACGGTCGAGTTGTTCTGCGAAAAACTTGCTGAAAGAAAGTCTGATTAATATGCTTACCGGAGTCGCCTGACGGCGACTCGTGGGGGCGGTCGTAGATTCTGCTTTGTCGGCCTTGGGTGTTTGTCCCTTTCTCGGAATCTGGGGTCATCCAGAACGTTCTCCAGAACGCCACACAACAGCGTGGTATCTCACCCATCGCACCGTGTATGGCTGGCTGGAATCTCACCCAGTCAATGACCCGCTTTGTTGGGTTTTCTGTTTCCACTTCACCTCTTCCTATCGTAAATAGGATGGGGTTGTGGTCTGACNTGTTCAAAACAATTTTTGAAACAATAGAAGTTAAGGAATTATCAAAAAGAAAGGCAATAACAAGATAACGAAAAAAATTTTCTTACAATTCCTCAACTGCTAATAAAAAAGAGGATAATCTATTTTTTTTATTTTCCCATTGAGGATCTTCTGGGAGGATATCTGAGATTTTCTGTGGTATAAATCGAAACTAGTAATGATTATCAAAAGCGTAATTAGTTGAAAACTTTCGGTAAAATTTATTTGTCACAGTATTTATTAGATATTATTTACCCACAACTGAAGATAATATTTTTTCCTCAGTAATTATTGGTATTTTTTTCACTCAAGAGTTAATTCGGTCAATCCGTACGGAAATGCTACTATGTGTTTCAACCCCAACTCTCACCTCGAAATTCAAAATTATAAATATTACCGGTACAGTTCCAGAAGATAATATGGTTTAAGGAACACTTGCTCTTCAAGGATCTTTAATAAAATTCAAAATATTTATATGAAACAGTTTTTCAAATATTTGTAAAAACCCGAACCACAATTTTTTTAATTAATTGTTCCTGACCTTGTCAGTTTTTAACAAATCCTCTTCACAGGTTCCAGAAGTGTTTAGATGACATTCCAAATCGAGCAGAAAATAGTTATAATTTTAATATGTTAACAGTTCTCCAAACATGTTTTTGGGCTCTGCATTCTGGTAATGTGACGGGTTCGTACACCGAACTTTAACTTTTACTTTATTTTTTAATTTTACTGAACTGTGATGTATGAACGCTCTCATTGATTAACATTGTGATAACTCAAAGTAAAAGATGAATTAACTGAAGAATTATAACACCATCTATGATAATAAAATTATTTCCGAACAAATAACTTTACTGAAGACGCGTTTTGCTACACAATAGATTCTTCAGCGGAATTGAGCACCAGGAATTGAATCTGAACAAAAAAATTATTGTTTGATCTCAATGAAATATTTTCTTGGTATGTGTGAAATGTTACATCTGTATTCAACCATTACACCACCACTTTTCTTACTCAGGTGTGCGGTTCACAGATATTGTATCAAGTATCCCCGCAATAAAAAAACCAACATATCAGATTACCATTGTCTCAATATCTTTGAAAAACAGAATAACCCTGATCAAATAAACTACCACTATAAAGCCTGAGTGGTTATTTGATACACCCTGCATGTTTATAAAACATTCGTGAATTATTTAGGGGGTGGTCCGAATATCGAAATTACAACTAGAACAATGAAACAGTTTGTTAGATACGATCATGACAACAATTATTTTTTATTACAGGGTAGGTCAGTTAACTGGATATGAGCCGCAAGATCTGATTGAAAAAACCCTCTACCATTACGTACATGGAAGCGATATTCTTGCTTTAAGATTTTCGCATCATCAATGTAAGTTCTTATTATATTAAGTTCAAATCAAGATAGATACGAGTACAACTTCGGTGATACAAGGGTATTCATATATCACTTGTGTAGTCAACTGATAAGAATTATAAATATTAAACTTACCGCTACTTTGAATTACACTACAAAAAAATTCAGTAGAGTATTTAATTTACTGAGTGAATACTTGTACATTTCATGGAACATTTCTCAAATATCAGTGGTTGTAGTGAAAAAATACTGTAAATATTGAGAGTTTTAGGAAACCATTTTTTCTGATTTAAAACTACAACATAAGATAACAACATAATAGAATAATAAATCATTTTTTTCTTTGAAGCCAACAGCAAAGATTCAGGGCAGAAACGGTTTCGACTGAAAATATTTTTATATACAATAGAGTTGATACATTTGGTGGTAATAATATTCGTATGATTATATGTCAAATACTACTACTACGAAATACCATACTCTTCCGTATTACGTATATATTCATAAATCAAAAATCAATTGTTTAGATAATTTTAAGGATTTTTCGACTTATCAATTTTTAGTAGTCTTGTTTAAAACTGAAATATCAATCAGACAAAGTTATACAGAAACTTATGATTCAATATTCTCACACATCAAATTTAGCAGTTTCATTTTATTTTTCCAGATTACCATTTACGTATTTAATAATTTTCATTTCCACTATAACTATATAGTACTATATAGTTTTGAAGTACACTTTATCTTATGTATTACAATAAATGATCATTCCATTCTTATTGATATATTCAAATTGAAAAATTTCGTTGAAGGACTAAGACAAGGTATTAACTTGTTGAGTAGTGGTCAAATTAGGTTAACAATGATGAAAGACGTTCACTATAATCCCATAACTTAATGTTTCCTATTGAGGATTTCGTTATTATGAGAGTAATGCCTGGACTTTTCTGAGACAGGTATCTTATTATTTCAAATTAACAAATTCAAAGGAAAATTACGAGGGGTGTTTGTGGGGAAAACCTTGATTTAATGATTAACTGATTTTAGGGTTCTGAAAAACCCATACCTTTTTTTCTGTCCTAATATATTTTGAAACATAGATAAAGAGAGACTGGCCGTCTGGATTTAGGCCGTGAAACTAAACTTAGTATATAGTGAGTTTTACAAATAACAATGAATGGCTCAATTCTGGGAAGTGCCTTATCAGACAACCTAGCATATTTTTAAAACGAACGAATTATATATAAAATTTATTGGCATTATTTTAACATAAATGAAATAAAAATTTAATTTTGAATGTAATGTACACGATATTCCATAAACGAACAAGCAAAACAGGATTGTCACAATGCAAATACCATCTATGGAATCATTTTCAAGAAATGGTAATTTTTCGAACAATCCTAAAAAATTCATTTTGTGAATCAGATGTGTTCACTCAACAACTTTATTCTCAATTTGGATCTTCGTGAGTATCATACATTGTCGGATAAAGAAAGTTTCCATGTTTTGGTATTGTACAAATCCGATAGTTGAATAAATAACTCAAACGACAATTTAAGTGACATACATTGATTATAGAAGTGACATTTCAATGGCGTGACATTGAAAATGATTTCTCAACTAACAAACTGAAGAAAATATATTTCTAGGAAACGAACGGTTTTTAACCTTCCACTTCTCCATCTTTATGCAAACAATTTGAGCAACATCCAGAGGAACATCCATAATTCTTTGCAAAGATGTGCGGTAATGCATAGAAGTTTTTTTCGGGTGTTAACTACATAATTTGCACTTTTTTGGAGAATTTATTTTGAGCGTAGATAATTGCTAGATTTCTTCTTCCTTTGGAAGTTCCCCACAATTTTTATAGAGTTCTTCACCAAAAACTAGTGTCTCCTAAAAATATATCCCTTTCAATTCAAAATACATTTGTTTCAGTATTGTGCAAAGGACAAGTCACGACAAAATACTACAGATTTCTTTGTAAAGGAGGAGGCTGGGTTTGGATGCAAAGTTACGCAACAATCGTCCACAACTCAAGATCATCTAGACCTCATTGCATTGTATCAGTTAACTACGTACTAAGGTAAGTGTTTTACAGTCTATCAACTTGATATACTGAAAAGAAAGAGTGCCATAGCTAGAATGTCTACAAACTTTCCAAATCTGATTTTTTATTGTGTTCTGTTGGAAGTTAGTTATATTTTCGTTAGTTTATGTATATTTCAGAGAACAGGAGACTAAATGTTACATGTTCAGTAAGAAATAAACATTCGTACCCTTTTTCAAACTCATTTTCAACTTAAAATTATCTTGTTCTTTTCGGAGAAAATTTAATCCAAACGTTATATTCTTGACCAAGCCGACTACCTATAGCGCAATCTTCAAGATTGAAACAGCACTATCTGCTACTGATGGGACTGATATACGAAATCGGTTCAAAGAAATAAGGTGAATTTTCATTTTTCTAGAAAAATGTTCAGTTATTTATCAATTTCTATTCTGTCCCCTTCAGATATGATACACTTGTGCCAGCGTTCTTTCAAATCATCGGAGTAGTTCTAATATGCACTTTTTGGAATGTTCTTGAGATCTCTCAGCGATTCTGTTTTTATTTCCTCATTTCCTTTTATTTCGTCGACCCTTTCATGGGTCTCTTCAATCTTGGAAACAGGAACAAGTTGAATGGGCCAAATCTGGTAAATACAGTGGCTGAGGCATAATAACGGTGTTGTTTTCGGCCAAAAGAATACGAACAAGCAATGACGAGTGAACGTGATGCAAAAGCCATGAACTATTTTTCCACAATATTTTCTTCGTATTGCTTTTCGCAAGCGGCACATAACTTCAAGATAATACTCATTATTGACCGTGTGGCAAGAACTACTGATTTCACGGTAATCGAAGAAAATAGTGAGCATTTCATCGAACTTGGCGAGCTTTTTTGGTTTTGGCTCTCCTGGGCTCTTCCATTGGAACGATTGGATGTCATAACCATATGCCTATGATTCGTCACCATGACTTTTTTAAGCCATTCTGGATCGCCGTTGACGTCATTCAGAAATTCCTGAGCGATGCTCATGTGACGGTTTTTTTGTCAAAATTCGGCATTTTGGAACGAACTTGCTGTCACACTCTATATGCCAAAATTGCATGACATAGACATTGCTGACATCCTCAGCAACTTCTCTAATAGTGATTCGACGAGTCTCCATAACAATATTCTTCACTATCTGTACATTTTCATCGATTGTTGATGTACAGAGGCGTCCAGGGCGAGCATCGTCATTCACATCTTCTCGAGCTTCTGTGAAAACCTTTCAACATCTCAAGTATTTTTGAGAACATAATTACATTTTCTGCACAAAATTTGAAGCAAATTCTGAGATCAATTTTTTTCGATAGCAGATAACTGCCGGACACGCAAAACACTTCCAACTTTCATACCTCTCACCAACAAACTAAACATGCTAAACAGCAAAACAGCTGAAACTATAAACATATGTTCGAGAAGAGTGTGCCAACATGAAATTATTACTAATCGAATGTATGTAGCCCACGAAATTTGAACATTTACCTTATTTTTTGAACAGACCTCATACGCTTTTGGGATCTCGTCGAATATGAAAGTTGCAAGTTACAAAAAGACAGAAAGTGATTTCTGATTTGGTGGTCGATGTTGAAGTTTGAGTTTACAATATATTAATATGAGTTATCCTTGGTCATCTTAAATGTATGGAGATGCAGTTTTTTGTATACCCCATAGATGACTTGTTCGTTTTACTTTTCAAACACTAATGAGCTAAAAGGAAAATAGACATTTAACACACTTTATGAAAATTGTGAAGATATCCATAATCCATAAGTTGACATTGACGCAGATTTCTAGCCCAAGTAACAAACCACTTTTATGATAACTAAAATTCAAATGGAAATATAAGGTCTAATTGATAAAGAATTAGATCTAAATTCAAATTGAATTCGCTCAGTTTCATTGAAGTGTATAATTTTTCAAACATTTTGTTCATGCAGTAACGGTTTATTGTTAAAATAATATTTTTGGCTGTTAATACAGGGCGTTATTTTTATAACTATTAACCTAATGAGATATTCATTTTCTTGCTAGCGGCAATATAAAAAAAGTTGAAATCGGCTAATAAATTGAAAGTTTACATCGGTGTTTGAAATCTCAATAGGTCACACACATATATACTTATCGCGCAATAGTAGTGTGGACACCACCCTTAGTGTGAAATATGGGGTCTTTGAAATATTATAACCACGCGGTATGTTCTCTTTTGATGAATACCCAGCTACTTTAGCATTTTGTATACACACCAAAGCCCGTGACTTTTGATCAAAACATACATCTGTGGCCATGACTACACTTCGCAGTTCACTACGCATCAACTCACTGATGTCATTTTGAGGCCACATACACAATATTGTGGAAACTTGTAGCCCGTTTTCATTCAGTTAAAAAAAATTACAAAAAGTTTTATCATAAATACAACTTATAAACTTCAAAAACTGTCAATGCAGAATTTCTGAAACTTTTGTGAATTAGCAACTGATATAGGGTTAAATTTTCATAAAATTGAATACCTAAATCTTGAAAGAAGTTTACTTTCGATAATGAAATAGTTACCATAGTCATATTTTTTTTAATAATTTGAAATATAAAATGAAAATGATAATTTAATATAATGTTATCTCCATGAACTGGTTTTGACAATGTGGAATATCAATTGTTTCAATAGCTAGTTCATTATGTTCGATATGTTCGTTAGAAAATGATCAATCCTAAATTTTTGCCGATTTGTTAATCCTACTTCGATAATTCAAAACGTGACCGTTTTACATTGATTTCATTTATTTGAGTAACTCGCTTTCAAACGATATGTCCAGGGTTCGTGAAATAGAACACCGGAAATGGGCGAAGAATTAATATTTATCAACAAACTACTCATTTTTACTGGTACTTTTGTTTTCTCTCTATACACCAAAGCCAGTAACTGTACTGTTTCGCTGTAACTGATGCCATTCAGTAGCAATAAACATCTCATTTCATCTCAATTTTTCGAGGTCATTTTACCTAATATCAATATCATTATGTGGCTATCCATACACACTTATGTCTAGATGCGTCAATAAAAATACTCAACTTCTTTTTGATAATTTCAGTTACAATTATAGTCGTATACCAAAGCTGGTGACAATTCTCTGCATCAAAAACTGATGACATTCAGTGGCCACATACCCAATAAACACACCTCAATATTTCAATACCTAATGGCAATATGATTTTGTGGCCATCCATACACACTTATTTTTGGATGCGTTGATAAAAACATTAATCTCTTTTTATTTAATTTCAATTACACTGCAACGAATTCGCAAATAATAATTATAACCATCGCCAAAAACGGTCATGATGAGATTTACCAATTTACAGGTGGAAAATCAAAGAATGTGATGACCTCAGGTCCAAATAAAATTCCATCGTTTCTAATGAAAGACTGTCTGAAATTATTAGTTTAGCCCCTACAAATTTCTTTCAACCTTATGTTAACGACGTCTGTTTTTTCTGAGGTCTGGAAAACCACCAAAGTTTGTCTAGTACACAAAACTCAATATCGAAATGAAGTCAGAAACCACAGACCTATCTCAATCCTCAACAACTTTGCCATACTTCTAGAAACAATCTTGAATAGCCGTATCTGTCGGTTTTCTCGACATATAATATCTGATCATCAACATGCTTTTATGAATTCTAGATCCACAATTACGACTCTAGCTGTTTTTGATCAATATGTGTGTGACTCGTCAGACCGTAGACGGCAAGTAGATGTGGTGTACACAGACTTCTCAAAAGCATTCGATTGGATCAATCATAAGTTACTTATTCGTAAACTTTCTTGCATGTGTTCTAATAAAATTTACCGTCAACTTCTGAAATCTCATTTCAGCGGACGCAATCAATATTGTACTCAGCCGTAAGCGGAGTCCCGCAAGGATCTAATTTTGGTCCCTTATTGTTTTTTATTATTTATTAACAATCTGTGCAACTCGTTAACCTGCAATAGATCAATGTTTGCTGATGATTTTGAACTTTACACAACTATAAACAGTTCAGATGACTGAACCATTTTGCAAAAGAAGATTGATTTATTACAAGATTGGTGTCCCAAGAACAGCCTCAATTTGGATATATCCAAATGCAAAACAGTGACATTCAGTCGAAAATGCAATACACTGTTCTTAGCACATCGATAACATTATATTGGAGAGAACAGATAATATCCGGGATTTAGGAATATATTTTGATCGTAATCTGACTTTCAATTACCACATTAATCACATTGTAAACTCAGCTTACCGCAATTTCGGTTTTATTAAAAGGAACTGCAAGAATTTCCATAATATTTTAAGGCTAACCTGTCTGTATTTCAGTTTGGTGAGGCCAAAACTAGAATATGGATCCATGATATGGAATCCCATACACAATCGATATAAATCTGCAATCAATAAAGTACAACAGAATTTTTTTTAATTCTCCAGTTTCAGAATCATTGGAACATATCCCCCAAAAAATTATAATAATTCTGATCTGCCTTATGAATTCGAAATTGTAGCATTAGATACACGAAAGGCATTTGTTCCATTTTTATATAAGTTATTGAATAGAAAAAAACAGACTCTTCTGCACTGCTATCAGAAACTGAAATCCTTGTTCCAAGACTAGCATCTAAGAACAATGAAACTTTTTTATGCAGAAGAGCACAAACGAAATTGATGTTGAAGTCACCAATTTACTTTATGTGTCGTAATGCAAACAAGATAATATCGACATTTTTTGTTACAGCTTACGTGAAATTGAAAATAGGTCTCGTGCGACTCTATAGTCAATGAGTATAGAAACGTTCACAATCTTTTATTTTATATTTTTTTCTTTTTCTTATGTTTTTAATTTGTGGTCTTACATCGAATAGTATAAATTTGTTGTGCAATAAACGCTATTTTTATTATTATAACTGATGTCACAATCGATTGTAATGACATCTATGGTGTTGCCCATCTTTACAT